CGGATATGAGATATCCGACTGAGCCCTTGTCTTATTAGATGCAGATCCAATACCCACTAGGGAAGGACCCATTAGGGTTTGACATGGGATCTCTATAAATAGGAGGGATTCACAGCCTCATAGGCTAGAGTGTTTGCTTGCCTTTCCTATTCTCCTCTCCCTCTCCACCTCAGAGTAGGCCTGGAGTTTTGAGGAGCGTCGTCGCAACCCTGCTGTGTGGATCACCGCTAGAGAGGAGGACGCTTGACCTCCTTCACCCTCTCTTAAGGATCTGCAAGGAAACAGGGATATACGATCTCCCTAGGTAACACAATCTCTATACGCAGTTTTGTGTTTTACGGATTTTTGCGCACTAATCTTCGCACGACGACGAACATCTTTTTGGGAATCGGGGATTTTTGTTTTCTTGTTCTTCCGCTGCGCATATGATGTCGCCCCCAATGATTTCCCAACAGATGCTCCGCGACCTCCGGGTCTATACCCGTCATGTCTGATGGGGACCAGGCAAAGATGTCGGCATTTTCCCGTAGGAGCCCGACGAGCCGTTCCTGCTCCCGCTCGGGCAACTCTGATCCGACCTTGATCGCCTGGTCGGGCCGAGCCTCTCGCAAGGGTACGTCAACAGTGGATCCCTTCGGCTCGGGATGAGGAGCTAATTTTTTCGCTTCCCGTGGGTCTTCCAGGGGTGCCTCGGTCTTGGCTCTCTTTCCCAATGAAAGGGCGGTAAGGTAGCACCGCCTAGACTCTCGGGGGCTTCCCGTGACTTCGCCGACTCCCGCACGAGTTGGGAATTTGATGGTCTGGTAGTAGGTTGAGACGACGGCCCTGACCTTGTTGAGGGTCGGTCGGCCGAGTATGGCATTGTAGGCGGTGGGAAGGTCGACCACCAAGAATGTGGTCATCATCGTTTTCGACCTCGATGGGGTCCCCAGAGTCAAGGGCAAAGTAACAGCTCCCAGGGGTGATATTGAATCTCCCGTGAAGCCGGTGAGCGTCGATCACATCGGGCTCAAACTTTCTCTGGCCAAACCTAGCTTCTGGAAGGCGTCGAAGTAAAGTATATCGGCTGAGCTTCCCGTGTCGACCATGATCCTCCTCACTTGCGCGTTGGCTACCCTGGCCGATATCACTAAGGCGTCGTCATGATCGGGGCGCTCGGAAGCTCCGGTCGGGAAGGTAATCTCGGGCTCGGGCTCGCGTCCCGAGGTTTCATCAAGAGCGGCTCAGGCAAACGCCTTTCTGCCCGACATGGAGCCGCCCCCAGATGCAGGGCCCCCGGCTATCACATCGACGTGTCACTCGATGGGGCCCTCCGGTCGGGGTGACCGCTCCTTGTTCGGCCGGAGATACTGGCCGAGGTGTCCTCTGAGGATAAGCTCCTCGATTTGCCTCTTCAACTCGTAGCACTGTTCAGTGTCGTGCCCGTGCTGTCGATGGAATCGGCAATACCTTGAACAGTCCACGAGCTCCCGCGGGTTCCTCATCGGGTGAGGGTCCTTGAGCAGCCCCTTCCCCTTCTCGTGCAGGAAAATTTCGGTTTGGGACGAATTCAAGGCGGGAGGAGGAGGTCCTGATTCTGGTCTGTTAGTCCTCCGCCGGGAGGCGAGGGGTTGTGGCTGTCGGGGCGGCTCTGACTTGACCTTTTTGTGATCCTCCCGCTTCCCAGCCATCCAAGTCTCCGCGGCGACGAATTGACTGGCACGCTGGAGCATTTCGGGGACCGCGGCGGGGGGCCGCTCCACGAGCGACCAGAAGAACCTGGAGGGCCGCAGGCTGTCATGAATGCCTGCATTAAGAGAGAGGGGTGAGCATCCGATAATCCGCGGATCTGCGTCGTAAAGCGGTTCACAAAATGAGAGAGGGGCTCGTCCTCCTTCTGGTTGAGTCCGAGGAGCAGCGCCATGGACGGCTTCGGTCGGACATAGGCCAAGAAGTTAAGCTCGAAATCCTTGGCGAGCTGATCGAAGGAGGCGACGGTCCCGGGCTTCAGGCTGCTGTACCATGCGTGGGCTGGCCCCCGCAGAGTCGTCGGGAACGCCCTGCATATCAAAGCGTCAGAAGTCCCATACAGTGCCATCTGAGCGCGGAAAGCGGCCACGTGGTCCGCTGGGTCAGCGGCGCCGTCGTATGCGTCTAGCAAGGGGAGGCGGAAATGCGGCGGGATCGTCTGTTCTTGTATTTCGGGGGTGAACGGGGATCCTTGGTGTCCGTCCACCCCGAGCTCCCCTTTTGACTTGCGGACTTCCTGTTGTACCTCGTCTAGTTTTTGACTGACGAGGCGCAGCTGAGCTCGCAAGGCATTCGTCGAGTCGGCGGTCGGAGCCTCGGGCTCGAGGCGGCTCGCCGTATCCTCCGCCTCCCGGCTCCCGGGTCGAGTTGCGGGGTTTCGGGGTGAGATAGGAAGCTCTGGAAGCGGGGCGTGAGTCCGGACAGGGGGCTCCCGTTGCTGCGTGGGTCGGGTCGCATGCGAAGGGGCTTGCGGGGAGACGATCGGGACGATAGTCTGCACGATGCTTGTCAGGGCTCGGACTTGGTGGGCGAGGTCATGGAAGGCCTCGGGTGACACTTGCGACGGGCCGGCGGGTGTATCGCCGGGAGGCGTCAAGCCTGGGTCATTGAACAGTTGCCAGTAGCGTTCTGACACCGCCGCGGGGCGTTTGTCGTGGGTTTCATTATGTAGGGGGTGTTCCCCCGAGGCGGGGGGCCCAGTTGTCAAGGGTCCGCCGAAGTGGATCTGATGATCGCTTGACATTTGGATGGCCCTCCTTCTAGCGCCAATCTGTTACGGTAAGTAACTTTCTCAGCCGTGACCTCGGGGTCGACGCGACCGGTTCAGGGCTCCAAATGATTGAGATCAGACGTGGCTCCTCTTGGGGGTTGCGGTGGCTGCCATGGGGGCCGCTGGCTGGAAAGTCTCGGGGCGTCGGGCGGATTAAGTGGCGGTCGAGTACCTGCACACAGGTCGGGCCCGTTGCTCGGCCCGGCCCCTCCGACGATTAAGTTAGTGAAGCAGAGTGGAGTATTTTTGTGAGATTGTCCTCCCCCCTTTCCTGTTGGGAGCCAGGGGGTATTTATAAGTGGGTTTGATGTTACCTGATGTGCCATCCTATCGGGGCGGGGCCGTACCTCTGATGGCGTATGTCGTTGTGGTCGTTGCGTGGAAGGCCGAGCTGCCGCAGGGTATGGGGGGTGTCAGTCAGCGCCTTCCCCTACCTTGACTGGCCACGAGGGGTCAGCCGAGGAGGTTGCTTGGGTATGGTGGGTGTAGGTGCGCGTCGTGTCGTCGTTAATGCTCGTTTCAGGAGCCACGTGCCGCACAGGGTGTCCGGCGTGGGGGTGTATTACGTCAAATCCGGGGTGTTATGTCAAATCAGTTTTTTTACCCCTATCAGGACTAATAAGCCTTCGGTTGTCCCTCTACATGCTCGCCAAAGTATGAACATACCAAAAGACACAGACATACATAAGCATTACATCAAACATCTTGTTTAGAAGTTTGTCCGTGACAACAGGGTAAACTACTACATGCTTATATATGCTAGTCATAGGTGCCCAACAAGCCAATTTCTTGTTCTTCCGCTGCGCATATGATATCGCCCCAATGATTTCCCATCAATATATCCATCATTTGAGTCTCCAACAATTATTCCAACAATTACATATTGGAATCCTTAAAAGAAGTATATGGACTCATATGAACCTTTGTAACCATTTTGACAATTATATTGGGAATTAAGAAGCTCTAGGAACTCTAAATAGTTGCTTGAATAGCGAGTTACATTATGGAGTTTTGAAAATATTATGATCGAGTCGGCATTAAGAGGAGGGGGGGGGGGGGGGTGAATTAGTGTAGCGGATAAAAATCGTCAGTTCGAAAATCATCATTTCGATTAAACCTATTTCAGAAAGATATTAAACTTGAAAGTGTTCGTAAGAGTGTAATGAGAAAGTAAAGCAAGTAAGAAAGTTTGCAGTAAGATAAATTACATAAATAGAAATACAAATTAGATTTTTATAGTGGTTCGGTCATCGTGACCTACATCCACTCCGCTGATTCCTCTTCCGTCGAAGCCACCGGCATCCACTAACGAACTTCCTTCAATGGGCGAAGATCAACTACCCTTTTACACTCTTCCTCATTTTCATAGGTTTAGGAGATAACCTTTACAAACCTCTCTTTTTAGACCTCACTTCTCTCTTTAGATAAATTTTTAAATAATAGGAAGAAGTAATCCTAAATCCTAAGAGAGTTTTCCAATTTTTCCTCATGTATTTTTCTCCCTTTTTCAACTCAATTTCGTACTCAATTCTTGCTACTCCATGCGGGAATAGCCGGGATATTTATAGACCCAAAATGGCTTCAAAATTAAAGCAAAAAAAGGTCTCATCTCGGGTTTCCTAGGTCCTGGCAGTACCACCACCTGTGCTGGGTAGTACCATCGCTTGTGCTAGGTGGTACCACCGCCTATAGTACTGACACTGAGCAATACCAGTCTGACAGTACTACCACTTGACACAGTCTGAGAGACTGTGTCTGGGCGGTACCACCGCCCGACATAGTCTTGAAGATTGTGTTTGGGTGGTACCACTGCTTAGTCTAGCGATACCACTGTCTGACACAATCTTGAAGATTGTCTAGGCTGTACCACTGCCAGACCCTACTATAGTACACTAAATGGGCCAAACAATACGCCTAATTTAGTCCGGCCCAATTGGCTCCTAATTGAGTTGGCATTGTTTCACCCCAATATCGACTCAATTAGATATAAAACAAACTCGATCTAGACAAATTATTATAAAGCATAAATCATTTGTTATCCAGCATATCATTGGTTCTTCTACTGCTTCATCCGATCCTTCAGCACATCGTCCTCTCCTTCAGTATATTGCCTAATCGGCATGTTAACCTCCGCAACTCCGATTTCTTTAGTGCAATTTCCGCTCTTCTTGGCCCGATGCCTGAATTCATAGCACGAAGCCTTCTGCCGACACGTCGACCGATCCTCCATCTCGACGTCCAATCTTTTGACATGTTCCACTCCAGCCCAACATTCAATTCCTCCTGTTTTAATCAATTTGCCTTTTCTGATCGAAGCTAGTCCTATGTCACTCAAAATATAGATTAGATAATAATATTATCAATTGGTTTCGTCATGAAAATCTGAGATTCAATAGAAAAATCCAAACATCTCAGCAAAAAAAAAAAAAAGATAAGATGTAAGGGGCCATTCTAGGATTCCATTTCTTAGTACAATGACTAAATTTTTATGCAGTAGATTCATCGACGAGTCGAAAAGAAAAATTTAAACATATCTCGACGGTATCAAATATATAATGGGATTGCTTGATATTGATGGGAAATCAATTTAGAAGTTGTGGAAAGGACTGAAGATGAAAATTATGATCAAGAATTGCTCTATCAATCACCATCTACTTCAGAGATACCTAGCACTCTGCCCTTAATCTAATTGTTAAGCTTGCTTAGTGAGGAATAAAGGAGAGGAATCTCTCCTCTTAATTTAAGAGGGAGATAAGCCCTTTACAAAAGCTAACATTTTTTTAAATTTTTATATCTATTTAATCTTTATTTTTATTCAATTTATTGATAAAAATGACATCATCTTGCTTGGAATGTTGAATAGTTATTTCCTAAATTTCATTAGCAAGCAAACAAATAAAATATCATACCTCAATTATGGATTTGATTACACTTATAATATCAGCTATTACTGTAGAATTCAAATGGTACCTTTTGAAGCTTTATATGGAAGATGTAGATTTTCATTTTATTGGGATGACTTGAGAGAAAAAAAATTACTTGGACATCAAATGATTTAAAGAAATAAATAGATTATTCAATTGATTCATAAGATATTGCTAACCGTCTAATCGATAAAAGAGGCTTGGCATTTGAAGTATTTATCTTTATCAAAGTATCAATGAGAAAGGATATGATAAGATATGGTAAGAAGGGAATAGTCCCTTATTTCACTGGACCTTTTGAAGTTATGCAAAGATTGATGCAGCACCTATATAGTCGCCCTACCACCTGCATTTTCAAAGATTCATAATGTATTTTATATATCAATGCTTCAAAAATATATTGTAGATTCTTCTCGTGTCTTATCCTATCATCCACTTTAATCGTGAGAAGATGCTACTTACGTTGAGCAACTAATACAAATTCTAGAACGAAATGTGCACAATATGAGAAGGAAGGGCATACCCTTCGTGAAGGTTCACTATTGGTGAAGGCAACTTTGGAATGACGGGAAGAAGTTAGAGAGAAATATCTCTATCTATTTATTGATTAAAAATTTTAAATTTAGAGATCAAATTCCTAGAAAATGAGAGGATATTATAACTATGACTTTTTATCTATTATTTAATAATCTAATTGGAAGGTTAGAATTATTTTTTTAGTAGGATTCTGTACCTTATTAGAATAGAAACAACTTGATATACGAGTATGCAGATAGTTAGAAAGGGATCGAGTTAATCTGATATCATCTATATGATCTTATTACTTAAGTTGGATTCATAAGTCCTTTTCTCTTTATTTTGACAATAAAGGAGAAATCGAGGAGTCCATGGGAGTTCCCTAGAGGACGAGGACAGAGTGGTATTGTTGAGAAGAATTAAGAAAGGCATCTCATCCCTTTCTCCTAGTATAAGCTCACCAAAATATGATTATCATCTCTCATATTGATCTTACAAAATATCATTCATATTATTTGTTCATGTATGAATTGACATGTCATGAAAACTTACTATATCATGCATATGCAAGAAAAAAAATAGATTTATATATTATGTTTTGTAGATAAAGTTATATGATGAAATAATATGAAGATATAAATCATGCATTAATATTTACACCAGTATATCAAATTATTGCTATCTTAACAAGTGATAGAATCTTACTGCAAGACATAATTCTACCTTTTCAGTTGGATTATCCTTAGGAATTTGATCCCCAAATTATGCTCTAAGACTATTCAGATTGTAACTTATGATTGTGACAACTCACTGTAATAACTTACACTCTATGATAATTCAAATTGTAAATCCATTTGAAATAAATTTTGAATTGTTACTTCATATTTCAATTATCCTACAAGGATTCAAATCTAATGTGGGTCCAATGTTTGAGCTCGTTATAAATTTAGTATTAGGATTATAGGATATCTGATAGGTGGTCCTACAAAAGCTATGTTAAAAGGTGTCGTGGACAAAAACTCCTTCGACACTTAGGTTAGTAAAAATTTGGGGGATTCAAAAGTAGAAACATTAATTAATGTTCTTAGATAGATCAAAGGCCTTATATAGTGAGCCTAGATAATCATCAAATTGAAGTGGAAAATTAATATGTGAGATCATTATGTGGAATTATCAATGCTACAACGACACATGTCAAACCATCAAATGTTGTGGTTATAAATGATGATTCATGTTGATGTTAGTAGTTCTTGAATGATATGTTATGATGAACTAACATCCTAGTTGGGTTGAGTTGGTGATGGGTTCACAATATTATGTGTCATTAGGTTGCCCATATATTGCTCTCTCTTATCAAGAAGTTAAGATATAATCATGTTTAGTATTTCTTGGATTAGTTCACATTAATTTATAATTAGAATTATCCCATATGGAAGTGATCAGCCTGTTTGGAGCAAGTTTTTGCTTGATATGATTTCTACTAAGTTCATTTTTATTTATGATTTTGC